GTTTCCCCTAAAAACTCCCTAAAATTGTATACTAAGAATAGTGATTAAAATTTTGCTTAAATTACCATATTTATATTACATGCTAATTTTTAAGTTAACATTCTTTAGTGTTTTTTATTTGTTTGTGTAAACAAGGTATCACTAAGTACCTCAGGCTGATCTTGAACTTACTACATAGTCCAGGATAGCCTCAAACTTGCAGGGATTTGTGCCTCAGCCTCTTGAGTGTTGGGTTTTTAGGCATGCACCAGCACACTTGGTGTATCTAGTGTTTTTCTAACAGTCTATGTCAGGTCTTTTATGGTACCTTTTTGGGAAGTTTCATCTACACTGTGTCTTTTGTATCTAGAACACAAAGTAGGTAAAACATTTGATTGGTAGAGAAGTAGTATTGTCTTGATTAAAGAAGTTAAGTATAAGACTTAGAGATATGAGATTCTGATACGCATGATACTTGATTGGTTGGGTGATATTATTCAAGTTTCCAATTTTAAAACATTTTTTCAATACAGAATTAACCTACTAAAGGTATTATTCAGCTAAAATAATATTTTGTCAGATTGTTTGAGTGAGTGCCATTATGTCTGTTTATTTAAAAGCTTATTTAAATTTTATTCTTTATATTTTGAAGATGATTTATAGAGTAAACCTGTCTCCTCTTGATAATAATTTTCTTTTTTTCCTCCTTTCTTGTTATCTTTTTCATTATTCTTTTTTTAAACTTAATTTTTTACTTGAGCCTTTGATTAATATTTAATGAATCCTTGTTTTAAAATGAAGCTTCTTCTCCAGTATAATTTTATCTTCCTTTTCCCTTAGTCTTATCCTGGTAATTAGTGCAATTATTCTTTTTTTTTTTGGTCTTTTTCGTTTTTATCGGTACCAGGGATCGAACTCACGACTGCCTGCTTGCAAGGCAGGCGCTTATGCCGCTGAGCTAAATCCCCAGCCCCGTGCAATTATTCTTAATGAGTAATTGTAATTTTTCCCATTAAAATGTAGTTATTGTAATTTGGATGGACAGTTCTGTCCCTCCACTCTTCCTTTTCGGTTTTGAGGTCATCATTTTATAAAATCAAATCTCATTTTGGTGTATATATAGCTTACTTTTCTTATGAAAAAAACATTGTGAAAAATCTATTTAAGTGAATTATTTTTACTCTAGGTCATTGTGTTGAATTTCAAAGTAATTTACTATCAAAATTTTAAAATATCTTCTGTTCAGTTTATATTTTGTTTTGTTTCTACTTTCTTACAAAAGGACTTTACCTTGAGGAGTATATAGGAGAGATTGCTGGGTTGAAAGTTTATTTTAACTTTTAATAGACAGTGATTTCTCACAATTGCATTTCTTTAATATCAAACCACTTAATATTTCTGGCAATACTGTAACATAGTAATAGTCCCACATAGTAGAGGCCTGCAGAAATGGAGCAGAGGAGATATTGATTGCCAAAAAGAACAGTGTTAAAAAGAAGGAATAGGAAAAATGGCTTGAGGGGACGTACAAAACCCTACCCTTTTCAGACTCAAAAATCACAAAAGCGAAGGACTGCTTTGAGAAGAGAGCCCAGGACATGTGTGAAGTTGTGAGAGTGAAGCCCAAATTGCAGTGGAGAATCCAGGATTTTGGAAAAGTTAGAAACATGGAACTTCTGCTGAGGAAAGCTGAAAGGAGTGAGCAAAAAAAGAAACCAAGAGAACTATAAATAAAAGCAGTGCTATAGGAGCGAGGTCCCACAAACCTTTTAGAGTTCACATCTCATCACAGTTTGTCCCAGTTGCTGGACGTGGAACTATAGGATTTTATGTTTGCCCTGCTGAATTTCCATCTTGCTTTGTTTATATTGCTTTGTATCCCCCATTTCTCCTTTTTTGGAAATGTTTACCCTGCCCTTTGTATATTGGAGATATTTAGCTTTCTTTTGATTTTTACAGGGGCACACAGCTAAGCATTTGTCTTAAATCTCAAAGGAGATTTGAACTTTTCCTTTTCCTTTTTTTTTTCTTTGAGAAAGGTTCTAGCTATGGAGTGCAGGCTAGCCTTGAACTCAGAATGTATGCAGCCCAAGGTGGCCTCAAACTCAGGTAATTCTCCCACCTTAACCTTCTAGTACAGGGATTACAGGTGTGCACTGGCTGTGTGTGCAGTTTTCAGCAGTCCTGAAACTGTCAGAACTTTGATGACTTTTAAAGATGAACTAATAAATGGGTTTGCATTTTTCATAAAGGGATGTACATGAGTCTTTTCGGACCCAAGGGCAGAATGTTAAGGTTTATAGATGTCCCCCAAAACGTTGTGTACTCTTAGATAGAGTTTTTGGGAAGTGATTAGATTACAAATGTATGATAGTCTTTATTAGTCTGCTGAGGTGTTTATGGCTAAATGTGATGTTGGGAAGTGAACCTTAATGGGAGGAGAGGGGTCATGAGGGTCTGCCCTATAAGAGGGTATCTCCTTCCCCTTCATTTGATTGTTTTCTCTGCTTCCTGCTGCCCTACCTTGGAGTCAGCTGACTATGGACTAAAATCTCTACCAATTGTGATTCAAATGAACTTTTTTCCCTTGAAGTTGTGGGTACTGAGTATTGTGTCTCAGCAACAAGAAAAGTAATTGAGGCATATACTTAAAATGGAGTTCCCTGTCATGTTTGGGTGAACTCATATAAATCCTATCTGGACCTGCTGAGTTTTTTTCTTTTCTTTTTTTCTTATACTTTCTATTTTTTTCTTTTCCTCCTCCTTTCTTTCTTCTCCATTTTGAGTGAATATATTCTGTATCTTTCATAATGATAGTTCCATTAAATTTTTTTATTCTTGAAATTTTTAAAGCTATATTTTTCTGAAAATTGTTCATCAGTCTATTTTCAAACTTACTGGCATCACCTTATTCTAGCACTCTTTCTGCCTTTATAATTTTATAATTATGCTTTTAAAAAATTCATAATGTAGCCAGGTATAGTAGTACACACCTGTAATTCCATGGTTTGGTAGGCTGAGGCAGGAGAACCACAAGTTTGTGACCAGACTGGGCAGTTAGGCAAGACTCTTGTTTTGAAATAAAGGAGCAAAAAGACTGAGGAGGTAGCCCAGTGCACAGGCCTAGATTCAGTCATTGACCCACCCTCCTCTTAGTGCTTGTACCTCTTTTCATTCTTCTTCAGACTTGACAAAGGCTTGCTTATTATGTTGTTCATTGCAAAGAATCATCTTTTGTTGATTCTTTATTGAATATTCTCTCTTCTGTTTATTATATCTTTTTTCAATTTTTATTCTTTCTTAACTTCTGTTTATTTTATCCTCTTTCAACTTTCTTTGAGATTAGTATTTTCTAATGTATTGAGTTGCATACCTAGATAATTTTATTTTCTAATATGTGCAGGGTATACTATAGTTCCACCTTCATGTACCACTTTAATTGTATTTTACAACTTTTAATGCTTGATATTTGAGAATCATTCATTTTAAATGTGCATTAGTTTTTGTTATTTTTTCTTTGACCTTGTGAAATATTTAAAGGTATTTATAAATAAAAGAGTGAATGTCAGCAGAATTTTTTTATGTATAGCTTGCTGAAATTATTGAACGTTTATAGATAGTCGTTAATAGTTTAAATTCAGTATTTAAATCTTTGCTGTCGGTGTGAAGTTCATTTCTAAGTATAATGAAAAAGTATGAAAATATCAGAACAAAGTATTTTTGTGAAGTTTATGCTTCAGATATAGAGGATTAATTTTTTTACATATTCATGTCTGATTTACTTGAAAATGGCTAGAAAATACAGTATGTGTAATTACATTTTGGCATTTGTGAAGATTTGTATTCTGGAGGATTGTTGTGTGCCTTTGTGTGTATGCGAATGTTTGGTTAATGTCCTTCAACCTTCAGTTTATGTGTCTCCTGAAATATCTGAAAAACGTCATGCCCTTTCAGTTTGATATTTAATTTTTTTCATTGTAAGTTTAGTGCAAGAGATACAATTACTAGTGTATTATGTGAAACTTTTTATTTTAGAATGAAATTGCTTCATTGTTCTTTAAAATATATATTTCAACTTGTAAATATTTTAGTAATTTTATAACCTCATTAATTATACAAACATGCACATTGTGTGCGCACACACACACAAGAACTTGCAAGTCTTCAGTGAAGAAAAACTTGAAAATTTGAATCTGCCTGTCTGCAGAGAACAATTAAAATACAGGATAAATATTTTTGTTTTACATTTGCTTGAAAGGATCCCTCTACTGTGTTTTAAAACATAAGAGAAAAAAGGTATTTGGTTAAAAACTCAGTTTTGGAAACAACCCAAACGCCCACCAACTGTGGAATGGATAAAAAAGATGTGGTATTTTTATGTAATGGAATACCACTCAGCTATAAAGAATGATAAACTCAAGGCTTTTATAGGTAAATGGATGCAACTAGAGATCATACTCACAAGTGAAATAAATCAGACTCACATATGTAAACCTTGTATTATCTCCCATGGGTAAAAAACTGAAAGATTAAATAAGCCAAAAGGTACCATAGATATTGTGAAGGGGAATGAAACTGCTCAAAAGGAAAGAACAACTGGGCTGGGGAAAAAGAGAAAAGAAGAAAGAAAAATATATATATATGCACAAGATAGCTAAGATAATTGTACTATTGAACCTATTCATTCAGGGAAAGAACCTGTGATTGCTTATATTGTTTGACCTGTTTTGCATGCTTGTATCTTGTAATCTGAGCAACTGTTTTGAAGATAACAATATTCAATATAATGACTATTTTTAATTTCCTATCAGTTTGTTTCAAAATCTTATGTCATTTCTACTGTTTTGTTTTTATTGTTTTATTTTCTTTTAATCCCTTTTTTAAAAACCTCAGTTTTAGATGGTATTATACCAAAAGACTTCTGCACATTTTTCTGTATTTAACTTCAGTCCATTAGAAGTCAGAGATATTAAGCAAATATTCAGTTGTTAAAATTATTTCTTTTTCTGCTTTCTTTGTAGGCATCACACCTGTGTATCATAATATGTTTGCTTTAATGAGTGAAACAGAAAGGATCTGGTATCCACCCAATCATGTCTTCCATATAGATGAATCATCCAGGCATAATGTACTCTACAGAATAAGGTACTTTCTTACATAAAGTGACTTGCTAATTAGAAAAGGGTCAAAGTAAAAGAAATTATAAACTATATGCTTTTATAATTACAGCGTTTTGTTCTGGTGGGATGTTACTTTACTGCTTGTAATTATATTTAAAAACATTTAAGAGGGAGGGATGTAACAATGACCTTTATTAGTAAAATCTTAAATGTTTTTAATATTGCTGATTTGCCAGGATATTTGATGTTTTGTAGAGTGAAATGCAATCTCATATCTCTTTGAAAGTAACTTTTAAAAAGTTGAAATAAAGAAAAGGTAAGATTTTTGGCAATGTTTCTTTGCAGCCTTAAAATTTCAAATTGATTTTTAATTAATTTGTAATGCCTGTTTAGAGAAATTCAGAAATATTTTTTATTTTCAAAAGGAAGGAACAAAGAAAAAAGTTTAATTTGTATTTCACAAATAACTGTCATTTTCTAAATATTTTATTTACATATGTAAGTAATTTTTTCTAGAAATTTAAGATGGGATATGTGTATGTACCAGTTACCCAAGATGAATGTATCTGCAGGACTACATATTATGAAAATATACTAGTAAAAATCTTCAAGTGCTATGTTAAGATTCTGATACTTTGATATATTACTCATGTTTATTTATGATCTTAATGCTGGGAGATGATACAATTCAAACTTAGATCTAATTTGCTTCATAAGACTCCCTTTTAATCACCTTATGCATACCTCATTAAATACATAACGTATGTATAGTATTTAGCATTATGTCTGTCACTTGATGGGCTCTTAGTAAAGTTTACTGTTGCATTGCTTCTTCTTCATTGTTCTGTATAAAATTATGCAGTTAACTATGTTAGAACTTTCTGATTTTTAAGATGTGATTTTCACTGAGTTTAACAGATGATTTTTGATATAAGTATTGAAAGATAAAATTAGTAATAGTTCAGTAAATATACAAATAAATAACAAACTTGTAAAAATGGCTTTCTTTTACATTAATTACTCGCTTTTGCATAATAAAGATCCTGTGAAAATACCTACAAAAACCTTAACTATTCAGGAATAACCTTAATTATTATTATGACATGACAATACACTGAGGCAGTATGGGAAAAATACTATTTGTTTCAAAAATATGAAGAATGTGAACATATAACATAGCTGTTTTTCAGTATTCATGGGGCATTGGTTCCAGCATCCCCCTTGGATATCAAAATCCATAGGTGCTCAACTCTGTTATATAAAATGTCATAGTATTGTGTACAACCTATGCACATCTTCTTATTTAAATTATCTCTAGGTTTTTTATAATACCTAATTATAAATGCTACATAAATACTATGTAAATGCTGTATAACTGGTTGTTATATTGTGTCGTGTAAAGAATAATGATGAGAAATATGTACACAACATGCAACACGGTTATGATTTTTTTTCCAAATACTTTCCATCTGTAGTGGTTGAATCCACAAATAATCCACAGGTCGGAAATGCCATTGATTATATTGAACAGGGAAGATCAGTATTAGAAGAATAAGGCTTTTTTTAGAATACAGGATTATCTCTAATCCAGTTAAATCTCAGCAAAGTCATTTTAGAGAATTTGTTGAATTATTATGAAGTTAATCTAAAATATTAATTAAATGGAATTATCATGAGAAAGAAGACATGTTTGACAACTGTAAAGTATTCTGTCTTGGTTATTGTGACTTGTGAAACTCTTAAGATACTGTTATTAATAGTATATAATTAAATTCACAATCATAACAAATATGAAATTTTTTTGTTGAAGAGGGAAAAATAGTTGATCATTAAGTGGTGGCAGGATAGGTGGTTAGCTGTTTGGGTAACTTTCTACCTTCTTCTTGAACATGTATATCAGAATTAATTTTAGATTGATTAGGTATATAAATGGAAATGTAGAATAAAAATCATCTCATAAAAACCTGAATTGGAGATGGATGTGGTGTCACATGTCTGTAATCCTGGAATTCTTGGATGCTGAAACAGGAGGATCCTAAGTTTGAGCCCAACCTGGGCAACTTACTGATAAAAGCAAGACTCTCTCAAAATTAAAAAAAAAACAACCCGAAGAGCAGAGGACTAGGAAATACAGTTCAGCAGAAATACAGTTCCCTACCTGGGAAGCTTATGGTCCTGAGTTTGATTCCTGGTACCCCTCTCCTCCCAAAAAAGAAAGACTGAGTATGTGGTAGTGTGTGGTCTCTGAGTTCAATCCCCATTACAAAAACAAAACAAAACAAAACAAAACAAAACCAAAAACACAAATAAATGAAAAAAATCTGAACTGGAATTTAACATCTATGCATTCTACTGGAAAACAGCATTTAAGCATCAAAACAGTAGAAGTCTGCAGCTCTTATTGCTGTTTACTATAGTTTTACACTTCTGAGGGTTAAAATAAATTATTAGAATTAAAAGGCAAACCTTAAACACAGTTTTAGCAAATCTAATAAAAGGTTAATATTCTAAAAATCTAAAGTTAAAAATACTATGTCCTTGATTACTTAAAGTATGTAACTAGTTATTTCACAAAATAATGAAGAGTTAACAGCCTTTGGAAAAAAACAAAAGCTTAATTTCACTAATTTTGAGACCAGTGAATACTTGGAACTGTGAAGCCCACAACCTCTCATAATTTCTGAGCTGTTAAAAATCTAATGATGTGCAATGTTTCTGAAAAGTAATTTTAAAGTATTTATAATTCTTTTGTCACATGCTATTCCTCATGATTTTCTGCTGATTTTTAAATTACAGGTAGCTGTTATGAAATAGATGTGTGTTCCTTGCAGAGAGATAGTAAAAACAATACGGAGAGGAGTAAAAAATGGTGGCTTGCTAGGGGATCGGGCGGAGAGTCTCTCCGGAGAAATCATATTAGAAGCTAGAATATGACAACATGGAGAGGGCCAGACGAATGGATAACAATTCTTATTAACCAAGACAGCGCAGCTGGAGGATTTAAAGTTGTGCTGAGACTGTGAAGGCTGATAACAGGAGGCTGCAAATCTGCGCCTTTAAATCAGCAAACTGACCCGTAGACCCAACAGGAAAAGCTGTGTTGGCTTTTGGTGACTGCTGGAAACTGAGACCTGGGACCCCGAGAAGTAGCCAGGACGGCCCCGCTGCACCAGAGGAGATTGTGAAAGGCTCTGGAGCTCTGAAGCCAAACGCTGTGCAGTTTTCTGACCATTCCACGCTGTGCTGAGAGCGTAGGGAGGGCGAGCGGCATGGTGTGCAGTAGACCCAAGAGGAGGATCTGCCCCGAACCCTGGTGAGTACTGGGGACCCTGCGGCTTCTGGGGTTGGCCAGAGAACATCTTGGAACTAGGCAGTGCCCGCCACCACGGGGACATCAATAACACAGAGAGTCTGGCGGCAGACATCTTAGAGTTGGGCAGAACCTACAGCTTGGTGACATCACCGAGTCCCCCTTTAGGGAGGTCTGGTGGAAGACATCTTGAAATTGGGCAGAGCCTGACGCCGTGCTGGCTTCAGCGTCATACAGATAACTAGTGGAAGACATCTTGGATTTGGGCAGACCTGCTGTCCTTGTGCTCCTGTCACAGAGAGGTCTGGAAGAGAACAGCTGGGATTTGGGCAGAAACCTGTGCCATAGTGACATTAGCTGCTTCTGGTACAGAGAGAACTGGCAGGAGCTACTGGGGCTAAACCAAGGCTCTGCTTGGGGCCCAATAAGCAGATACAAAATAGTCACAACTCAGTGACATCCAGAAAGTACAGCCTAATTTATGGATTGACTGGCACAGAGGCTGGAGGCTAGCCTGTACTGCCCCTGCATCCCAGCCTACCCCAGATAACAGCAAATTGGGGAGGACAGCAAAAACTCAAGTTAGCACACTTCTGAAAGCACGCTTCTAAGCAATACGGAGAGGGCCAGGGACCCCCAGGACACTCCAGTCTGAAAGAAACCAGAAACATGACAAGAGATAAAAGTTAAAAAAAATTTCCAGCTACCCAACATGAGAAAATAAGCCCAGGAGAAGTAAACACTGAAGAGAACAAGCACAGTAACCATCCAATACTCGACACATCATCAGCTGAAATTAAAAAAAGAACCTTCATGACCTCATAGATGAATTTAAAGCTGTACTCCTGATCCAAGTGAGGCAAGATATAAAGAGATTAATTAAAGAAATGACAAGCTCTGCCCAAGAGAACACAGATGGAAGAACTGAGGAAATCAGAAAAGAAAGAGAAACTTCTGAAGAAGAATTTAAACATAACTTAGAATACATGAAACAGATCCAAAGAGAATATCAGGAAACTAAAAACTCCATTGAACACTGGCAAAATGCCTTGACAGAAACTAAAGACAGCCTTCTGAAACTTGAAGAGAGATTTATGGCATATGATCGTGAAAGAAAAAGCCTCTTAAAAATAACAAGGAACCAGAAAGAAGCAATTCAAAAACTGGAGGATGACAAAAAGATACATAACCTAAGAATAAAGAATGTGAGTGAGGAAGCAGGAGCAACCAAAAATGAAATACAAAAAATATGCACAGATATATTAAAGCAAAATTTCCCATGTATAGCAAAAAGAAATGATATCCAGATAAAAGAGGCATACAGAACACCAGCTACCTACAACCAAAACAGATCTACGCCTAGACATATAATAATCAAGATTCCAGAAATCCACCAAAAGAACAGAATATTAAAAGCAGCCAGAGAAAAGATGCAGATTACCTACAACGGGAAAACTATCAAAATAACAGCAGACTTATCAACACAAACTCTTAAGTCAAGAAGGGAGTGGGGAGAAATATTCCAAGTCCTGAAAGAAAAAAATATGCAACCAAAGTTCATATACCCATCAAAACTCTCTCTCAAAATTAATGAAGAAATAAGATACTTTCAAGACAAGGAGGAACTGTGGGAGTTCATGGCCACCAATCCAACTCTACAGAGAGCGCTGAAGGACATTACAGAGAAAGAGAGGAAGAGATACCAGGATTCCAGC